TGATCCCATTGAAAAATAAGGAAATTGAATCTCCACAGTTTAGGAACTTGTTCCTAATTATAAATTCAGTACATAAAAGAGTCTGAAATATAGCTCTAATATGCCTAATTCTGAAACTACGAAGAAAAAAGGAAATCCATTTTGAAAGGATCTGAAGTTAAGGAAAATAAGCTTGCATATTTATGACACCCAGAAGAATAGTTTTAGGCTTAATTATTATCTAACAAATACAAGGAAAGTTGCAATTGTGCCATGTAAGGTAATTTACTTTTCATTTAATCAGGATAACATCAGGCTTCGGTCTAGCCCATCATTTTCTAGTCTTCATTATCAGGATGCTGGAAACTATGTCTGCGAAACTGCCCTGCAAGAGGTTGAAGGACTAAAGAAAAGAGAGTCATTGACGCTCATTGTAGAAGGTAATAAATTTACATGTAAGTTGCTCTGTATTGCTTTACTCTCTGCTCTTCGATCCCTTTTAGTGCTGAGTCCTCTCTTAGTTGGTCTCTTACTCTTGGAGCTCCATTTATATCTCATTGGGAAGTTGGTCTCTTACTCTTGGGAGCTCCATTTATATCTCATCTCCATCATATCTCATGGGAACCAATTTGAATTATTCTTTGAAAATTCAATACCTGGTTTCTTTTATGATGTCAGCTCAATATTATATTTAAATTGTAATGATGTTTTAGGAAAACCACAAATAAAAATGACAAAGAAAACGGATCCCAGTGGATTGTCTAAAACAATAATCTGCCATGTGGAAGGTTTTCCGAAGCCAGCTATCCAGTGGACAATTACTGGCAGCGGAAGCGTCATAAACCAAGCAAGTATTTGTCTTCTCCTATATGCTGCGCTTGGTCCAGTGTGGGGTTTTCTTTAGGGACCTAAACTGTAGGTTGACCATATGATATTTGCAGTCTTCTCCATGGAAGGTTTTGCTAACTTTTTAATCTTCTCAAAGGAAGAGCAAGGCTCAAAGAGAAATCTTAAATTCCAGGACCACAGAAAATGGAAGAAGCGTGATGCGGTAGTCAGTTGTGTTTTCTTTAAAGAGTGTAAATTGGGTTTTGCCTCATGGTCATTTATTGCCAAAATGTGGGTGATCAAAACGTTAAGGTATACACTTCTGCATTACCCACGCACACATCTGAGTATGAGTAGCCTCCATTACTTTGTTTATTTATGCATGTTAAGGGATATTTCTCCTTAAACCTGGGCCATGGGAAAAGGGGAGGAAGGACACAGTCGCTGTCACTGCTGTGAGCATGTGATGTGATGCTTATTCCAGGGCTAGGGCCAGAAACAGTCAAGCTCCATATTATATACAGTGTCTGGAATGGGTTCTTCTAAAGCAAAGGGGTTGTAAAACAAATTTTAGTATTTTTTACCGTAGTAAAGATTAGATAACTTATGAACCCAACCTTAATTTACTCTTAAAACTAAGTCTTCGACAAAAAAAAAAAAAAGAGAGAGAGCGAGAGAGAGAGATAATTGGTTGGCCACTAGGGATTCTGAACTATCTGAACTATAATTTCTCTAGCTTGGCAATCTCCATGGGTTACTGACACACTTGTTATTTCTATTTTCTCTACAACAGTCTTCATATTCTTTCTTCTCAATAGAACCAAATAAAGACTCATCAAGATGACCTGGTGGTGCCATTTGACTATTTGAGTCTTTTCTGTGACCTCTTTTCCAGATTTTAACCTAGTTGAAATTTTAAATATATATATATATATAAGACAAAAAGCTGAAAATTCATTTTAAGTGAAAATCTCCACTCTTCCTCCATCTAGGGAAGTTGGGCCACTGGTCCAGCTTACACAGTACAGTTTTGCAGAACAAGGTAGATATAGCTCTTTCACCTATGGGTGATACATATAAGATAGGGAAAGCCCACCAAGGTGTCAGCACCCTTGAACCAAATAACTCCTGATTTGGTTAGATGTGATGGAGACACGGTGAGAGAGGATGAGAGAAGGGGTGAGAAGGCTTTGGCCCCTTAAACCTGAGAAAGTGCAGTTTTCTTGGTTCAGAATGAACCATCTGAATTGGTGAAAAGATACAGATCTATGTTTTAAAATCAAAAATGTCTGTTTCTTTCTTTCTTTGTTGTTTTTCTGTCTAGTTCAATTAAGCAATGAGTACAGGAAAAAAAGAGCGAAGTTTTGTGTAGTGGTAATGCAGGTGTAAAAAGTAGAAAAATAAGCACATGATAAATATTTGATGAATGAAAAGACACAAAGGCCATTTAGAAGGCCATTCTAGAAATGAGCAAATATACGTATATTCTGTAGAGATTAAAAAATCCTACTGGGAAGTAAGAAAATAGCAGGTCAACTTACTATGAGGATAAAAATAATGCCATGCTTCATTGTCAAGGAGAAATTGATTCTGGCCCATTGGGCGATATGTCATTTTTCTAGCTCTTGGTTTGGGCTGATCCTGCCGTAATCTTTTATTTTTTCCCTCCTCAAGCCCTTGGTAAATCTATTATTTTACAACTATGAGCTATCTCTGCCCCTTCTCAGCCCCTCACAACTAGAAGATATCCCAAAGCATGAGGCTAGCTCTTGTCCTCAAGGCACTTACCCACATCGAAAGGGAACACTGTGGAAAATGATGTGTAGGAAGTGACTGAGTAAAGAGCATAAATGCATATAAGCTTCCATCCTGCTGGATTTAGGAGTCCAGTCCTGGAGATAAGATTAAAGTAGATTGTTCCTTATGTTCAGAAGAATTAAATGTGATTGGCTTCACAAACACCTCACAAAAAAACAAAGGGACTTAGCAGTCACTCTAAACAAACTCATCCTTTTTATTTACAACAGAAAAATTTAGAAAAATAGTTTTACTTACCCATGAGCAAATTATATGTACATGTGTGCTTAAGATAAAAGAATTAATCCCCACAGTGAAGAACAGTGATCAAGTTCATAAATAATTAAATTAATGGCTTTATTGAGGGAAAATTGGTGGTTAAATAATCACTAACTATTTTGAGATGTGTCATCATGCCAAAATATTGACTGAACCTGAGATCTTATGAAAAAGGAAAAGTTCAATTAATTAAATTATTAAAATTTACAGTAAAACATAAAGAGAAATCTCATTATGGATTCATTAAACTTTGGCTCTTTGAGATACTCATATAGTTCACCACGATCATGACCCCTTGAGCCTCAGATCGCACTACAGAGCACCACACTATTCTACTCTTGTTCAAGAATTTAAATTTATTTTCATTTCTAAGCCCGTCTTCCTTCTTCTTTTTCCAGACAGAGGAATCTCCTTATATCAATGGCAGGTATTATAGTAAAATTATCATTTCCCCTGAAGAAAATGTTACGTTAACTTGCACAGCAGAAAACCAGCTGGAGAGAACAGTAAACTCCTTGAATGTCTCTGCGAGTGAGTATTTCATTTCTGGCATTAAAAAAAGTAAGAAAATTTGAAGTTTTCTTCATTAGTTTAAAATCTTCAATTCCATCTTCCTGTACCGCATCATGGTAAGTTTTATTTATTTATTTTGCATTTGATATCATCATCATGAGGTTATTTTTTTCTTCCTTCCTGGTGTCCATTCTACCCTACCCTTGTCTTGACAGTTAAATCATTTCATGTTTTCTGGGTCAGAGAACTTATCCTGTACAAGATGTTTCCCAAAGGCAACAGAGATAAGAAATGAGTTGTTCTCCTTTAATCCCTGTTTTGTGTTCAGGGTAGAGATAGCTCAAAGACTATCTTAAAACATTTTTGTAACAGTTTTAAATCTGGTAAACCTTCATTCCCTTTCACCTGTTATTTTGCATTCCAATTCTTTGTGGTATTTATGCAACCCTTATGTTGTACAAGAACGCCACAAAGTTGAAGTCATTCGGCAAATTGGCAGGACTGATATTGGAATTCACGAAATCTAGTTTATAAATTTTTTATCATATCATACTGAATCATAGCCTAAGAGTAGATATAAGACATTATGTCATAGAAAGTGAAAAAAAAAAAAAGACCTGTCAAAGCTGAAATCAGGGTAATATATACATACAAATAGCAGCTTCTTCTGAAAGCCTTTGCATTCAATGAGAAAGTATTTATAATCTTCAATTCTTCCTATTGCTATGTCAACATTAAATGAAGACTGGCCTAAAATGAGGCTCAGTTCTGGACAGGATGCTAACTGACCCTCCACACTTTTATTCTTCTTCATTTGATTGAAATCCTACATGTGACATTAGCCAGCTAGGGATACACTGGCTAGGAATTAACAGGAGCTAGGAGAAAATAATTGTCCAAAGATACAAATCCCCTAATAGATTATGACTGGGATATAAAAGCCTGATGGATTAACAGGGGGAGAGAACAAAACCAATGTAACTCTAAAATCAGTGCATTGACTCATCAGAATGCAATTCAGGGAGTATTGATTCATCCTCCCCAGAAAGAGAACCTCTCCTTTCATCTTGAACACCAGCATCTCTATTTATTTTAGGCACATTGAATGCTATGTTTTGATTTTCTCAGCCTTGCAGTGGCCTGATCAACATTAAATCCAGTTGTTTTCAAACTCAGCGAACACCTCCTGAGATACCAATTTTGTATATGTGAGGAGGGTCTGGGCATATGCATTTTAATAGACATTACTGGCATTTCTGATGCAGGCCCAGGCAATTTGAAGAGTATTTATGCAGTTTAACATTAGATGATGTTTCATCACAGCAGTGACTCTTAAAATGAACCAAGAGCTTAGTGCTGTTGGAATCATTTGGAGGGCTTTTGCAAATATCACATAGGCTGCTTCTTAGAGATTACTGAGACATCCCCAGTTTCAACCTCTATCCTTACCACTTTGAGAACATCTCTAGGGTAAGCCCTTGATGCTGGAAGATGAAAATTAATTCTCCTATATCAGGACAGGAAATATTTAGAAAAATTGAGAAAGAATGCATTATCAATAGCATAGGTACCAACTTTTTTGCTCCTAAAAAGGAAGTATTATGAAAAGGTGGTAGATAGTATAAAAATTATATGGATTTCAGACTAATATGGTAGCTCATAATTTGTGAAATTTTCTATAGTAGATTAATACCTTTGCGGTTTTAACGAATCTCTCTTCTTTAAAACAGGATTAATTTCTTTGTAGGAAAGGTCATGCTCTCTTAAGTGTGATTTTTGGCTTTTTATTACCCTTAGTTGTAGAATAGATATTTTATCTTTGAGTATTATTACATCATACTATAATGGTAAAGGTGGCTTTCATATATCAACAAATTTTGTTTTTAATTTCATATTAACATTTTTCATTTCAGTAAGTATTCCAGAACACGATGAGGCAGACGATATAAGTGGTAGGTACTCTGCTGCTGACTCTTCTTCCTTGACTATCAGCTCAAGATCTATGAAGTGTCATAGTATAAGTCATTTTCTTATCTGTCCACAATTTTGACCTGAACTAAAACAGCAAATGAGACCAGATAGTAAGAATGCTAAAGTTTTACCCTTTACCATCACAAGTTTGCATGTTCATCATAGTAGTGAACCTTAGACATTTTTAAAAGCATATATTAGATTAACTTCTTTTTAAAAATCCTTGGCATTGTCTATAATTGCATGGACTTTTCTTCTCTGTTCTAGACGAAAACAGAGAAAAGGTGAACGACCAGGCCAAACTGATTGTGGGAATTGTCGTTGGTCTCCTCCTCGCCGCCCTCGTTGCTGGTGTCGTCTACTGGCTGTACATGAAGAAGTCAAAGTGAGTTGTGGCCAAAAGAGCTTCATTGTTCATTCCCTTTCCCTGGGAGAAACCACAGTGTGTCGATTAGACCCACTCCACCTGTGCATGTAATTTCTACAATGAGAAAGACGTATCTTTCAGATCAAATTGATCAGATTTTCTTTCAATATGATTTTGTTTCAGTGACTACAATGTCAGTATCAGAGACACAACCTGGGGTGTGACTTCCCAAGTGCCCCTTTATTTTTCTCAGTCAGTAGTCTGAATTTAATTCTTTGACTGGTATTTGTTCCTGTTTTTGTTAGTGCTTTGGCGAATGTTTTCAAAGCATGTACTACCTAAAGGTCAACCTTTTGGCTAGTACCTCTGGTAGGGACTCCCAGGTGTCTTTGCAGTGACAAGGCTGGCCAGTGATGAAACTGCTAATGAGGTGGACTATCTTATTGCCAATATTCTTCTATTCTAGTTTGTTGACTTTGTTCCATTTGCAAATCTATTTCAGAGAAAAATATGGAATTATTTTGGCTTGAGTTTTTTAAAGTTGATTAGACAAAGTACCAAGACTACTTTTAAAATGCTTTAGAGACATTAGATTAAAAATATTTTGTCATATAACGTGACAGGTTGTATGAATTTTCCAAATCATCTGACAGTGGATTATAAGGAAAACTTGATGAACCAATGAAGATTCTTAAAATACACAATGCCTCATACTTCACATGGTCTCACTCCCTAGCAGATGCAGATGGGACTGGGGTGGAGGGAGTGGGGTTCCTGCTTTTGTGGCATGTTCTTAGTTAACTCCCCTAATCTTATAAATGAGTCAATTGGTTTCTGCAATGGGGTATCTATAGCTGGTGGCAACTTTGGACCTAATTTTATATTTTCTTTATATCTGACATATCCCCTTTAAATAAAACTTAAGAAAGTTAAATTGAAATAAGATTGAGGGAAAAAATCAGATGCAAATGGGGATCCATGATCTTATCCTGTAAATACGGCAATTCCAGTGAAGCAGTATTCAAATGGAGCTGCTCTCCAGGGAGGACAGTTATTCAGAAATGTTGAAGTCACCTAGCAACATGAGCTTGGATACACTCTTTTGTTCTCACAGCACATCTATAAAGTTGCTATCCTGATAATTTACATGAATATATATACATAGAGAGAGAGAGAGAGAGAGAGAGATACATATTTTGAGACAGAGTCTTGCTGTGTTATCCTGGGCTAGAGTGCAGTGGCATCATCATACCTCACAAACTCCTGGGCTCAAGCAATCTATCTGAAAAATCTGAGGTAGGGTACGGTTCAAGAGCTGCTTAAAGTTACACAGTTTGGCAGGGACATAATTTTTTTCATGTAAGACAGAATCTTTGCGCTTAATCACTTGGGCTTCCTTTCTCTAACTTTCCCTAAATTTTTGTCCTTTTGCCATATGAGGCAGAAACACTTTTCGTGTTGTGTGGTTGTGACTGACGCAGGTGGTGTATGTTCTCACCCTGAGGCAAAGTCACCCTGACCCCCTGATGTTGGCATTTCACTCCTTCATCTTGAGAAGTAACAACCAATACTCAGTGTATTAGTCCGAGGTCTTCAGAGAATCACGCTAGTTGGGTGTGTGCGTGTGTGTAAAGAAAGGTTTGTTATGAGTAATAGGCTCACATGATTATGAAGACTGAGAAGTCCCAAGATTTGCTGTTGGGAAGCAAGAGACCCAGGAGAACCAATGTGTCGTTCCCTCTGGGTGCATAGCCTGAAAATCAGGAAGGCCAATGGTGGAAACTCTTGTCTGAAACACAAGCAGGTCAAGATTCAGGAAAAATGGATGTTTCAATCCAACTCTACAGGCAGGAAGAAAACAATGTCCCAGCTCAAGAGGTCAGGCGGGAGATGTTCCCTCTCTTACTAAGCCTTTTCCTTAGATGCAGATCTTCAGTTGCTTCAACAAGGCCCATCCATGTATGGGAGGGTAATCTGCTTTACTCAGTCTACTGTCTGAAATGTTGATCTCATCCAGAAACACTCCCACAGGCACAGCCAGAATAACGTTTGACCAAACGTCTGTGCACCGCATGACACAGTTAAGTCAATACACAAAAGGAACCATCATATTTGGTAACAAATATGCCTTTTTCGCAATGAAAATTTTACCTCTAAACACTTCACAAGGGTTTATGTCCATGGCATCTATGGAAATTTTAGACCTATTACCACATAAGTGAAGGGAAATGCAGACAGTTGCCCAGAAGCAATATCTATCTCATAGAAATTTTTCTTCTATGTATACAAGTTTCCTGATATTCAAAATCATATCCTCCCTTAAAATCCATGATCAGATATTCACAAGTACAACAACTTGGGTTGTAGGGTATTTCCATTTTACTAGGATTTCTGATTCAATCCAAAGTAATTTTGTTTCTTAAAGGAATAAAAATAGAATTCTCTTGTATACAAAAATTAGCTTAAAAAATGCATTTGATAGTAGTGCTCTACACTATGATCAGTTTAATGTTAAATTCTTGGAGCAACCTCAGCATCCGTAAGCATCCCATTCTAATGGCCAGTATCTCATCAGACACCATTTTTCCTTCTATGAATAAAATAATATTATGTGTGTGTATTCTTTCATTTGTTACTACCATATAGTGACCCCAAATTAAAATCATAGATAAGTAAGTGCTGCACACTTGGCTTCCTAGTGTCTTTAGGTTAAGACCTCAAGCATTTCCTTTAAAATACCTCATTAAATTAAGTGCAACTTCTATCATTTGACCCGAACTTTCATCTACGTAACTGTCATTAAATGGAAAAGGGCACCATCTGTGATAGAGTTAATATTATGGGTAATCAAGATAATAAATTACAATTCTCATACCAAGGATCAAAGTGATTTTTTTTTTATTAAGAATTTGTGGAACACTTCAGATTTGCTAAGTGTTTTGCATTCATAATTAGTTACCCCTTGCTTATGCCCTTGAAAATAAGCTAGCATTTTTGCAATACAATTTAGTGTTCCTTTTTTTTTTTTTTTTGAGACTGAGCCTCAAGCTGTCCTCCTGGTTAGAGTGCCATGGCATCACAGCTCACAGCAACCTCCAACTCCTGGGCTCAAGCAAGTCTCCTGCCTCAGCCTCCCAAGTAGCTGGGACCACAGGTGCCCGCCACAACTCCCGGCTATTTTTTGATTGCAGCCATCATTGTTGTTTGGCGGGCCTGGGCTGGATTCAAACCTGCCACCTTGGGTGTATGTGGCTGGCACCTTAGCCACTTGAGCCACGGGCGCCAAGCCAATTTAGTGTTCTTAACCCCTTAAGCTAGTTGTCTAGAGTTAAGTGCAGTTTCATAATGACAGCTTTCAAGTTAAGAATTTCTAAAGCCATTCTTGAGATATAGGTAGCAAAGCTGTCAAATTTTAGTAACATTTAGGGGAAAATCTTTGCATTGGTAATTTTAAACATCACTGGAAAGAGGAAGACAAACACTTTTATTTCTAAGTAGAATTTAAGAGTACATTTGTTCATATACTTCATGACTACTCAGCCAGCGTGTGTTTCCCTTCCACTCATAGGAGCTACATATTTTTATATCTGTTTTAACTATGGAGAACTACAGCAAGAAATACTTAGAAATTGCATTCTTTTCTCATTTTGACATGGAGTGTTCACTTAAGAGTAAGGATTCATGACTCCTTTGTTGCATGAGGTATATAACTTCCCAATGGAATGTTTTCTTAAATGAAAGATGTTTGGATAATGAGAACAGATGACTAATCATTTAACATGTAGGCTATTAGCTGACAGGGTTAAGCAAAAATATATTTATTGACTAGGTCCATTCTATATCTAGTGTTTAGCAGGTAGGAGAACATTAAAGAACTAGAAATAATTCAGTGGTTAATCTTTATTATTTTTCCATTTCTCTCTGCTGTAGCCTCCAAATATTGTTTTTAATTCTACAGGAAGTAAACTTTACTATTTAAGATCCAAACCCTCTTTTGCATATCTTATAATAGAAGAAAGAATAAAAGATTAAAGGAGATGAAGAGGAAAAAAGTAAAGGTAGAAAGGAAGTGGCCTTTAGAAGTAGGGAAAAACCATCACTTCCAGGTTGGGTGCACTTGAGAGCCCCTTGTCCTCAGTACTTCCTCTCACTCAACTGGAAGCAACTATTAACCAGGCGTTTGTAATCTCAACATACCATATTATGTGACTCTTGCAAACTTACCCAGGGATTCACCTTTTTGAACTGTAGATTGCAAGACTATCTGCATGAAAATTGTGCCACATATCAGTAATTCAGAAGCTAAAAATCACCAATGTCTTATCTTAGCTGTGCTGTGTATGTGCAAGTGCTCCGATATTCTAGGCCTCTCTCAGAATAAAACAGAGACAGTTCTAAATTGACTGAAGGGAAAAGAGAACTTGCCTATAACACTGAAGCTTCCAGAAAAACAATGCTGTATTAGGACATTCTAGAATGCTTCCCATTGCTATCTCTTGATATATAGGACAGGAAGAAAGTTGATCTTTATCTTGTTTCTATTTTTCAATTAGTACACAATCCTAAAAACTAATATATGTCCTCATGAGGAAAGTAGGACTCTCCACTGCATAAATTGAAAAAATAGTGGTGGAGGACCATTTATAGCACATGTTAAATGACTTTTCTCATTTATCATTACATTTTTATCATTACATGGGCACATACTATATTTTTTCTTTTGAGGTGGGTTCTTTTACAGAAATCCTCAACAATGTAACAAATTACATACAATTAACATCATTTCATAGTATCTAACTCTCGGTGGCATTAGACTACTCAAGATAACAGAAGTAGTTAAGTATTTTATTCCAAATTTCCTACAGTTCTTTCAAATATATTTTTCTGTGATAGATAGCGGGATTTCTTTGGAGTTGAGAGTTCATCTCTGGCTGTGAACGCCCATTGGCTATGGAGAAAAGTGTTTTCCTAAGGGCAGCCCTGAGGTCACCTCACTCTCTACCTGTATGAGAAGTTAGGATG